ATTTTATCTTCCCCGGTTCGCACTCACATTAGAAGTCTCTCTCAGTGGATTCTGTGTCCTTTTTCTCCCAATCTCTCAGGTTTTGTAAGGTTTCCAATGGCTTCAGATCTTTTCTGTGTGATGTATGGGCGCGAGTGCAATATGGAGCTCCTTACTTCTCCGCCATCTTGCCCTCTCTCTCAAGTCCAGATTTTTTAAAAAATTGTTTGTATTATTTATTTTTGACAGAGAGACAGAAAGAACAGAAATGGGGGAGGGGCAGAGAGAGAGAGGGAGACAGATGATCCAGACTGGACTCTGTGCTGACAGCAGAGACCCCAACACGGGTCTCAAACCCATGAACTGTGAGATCATGACCTGAGCTGAAATCAAAGGCTTAGCCAACTGAGCCACCCAGACACCCCTTAAGTCCAGATTATACTTAAATATTGTGGTGAAAAATCTAAGTGTCTAGCTAGTAGCAAGGAAAAATAGCAAACATCCATATCCTGTTATTCAATCCTCAAAAACATGTTTCTCAGAGAAATCTTGGTCTTAAGAGATGTTCTGGGGTGGGCTTTCTCCTCACTGTTGAGATTATTTGAAGCATATCTAATCTGAATATGTGAAGTAGTGGAGAAATAACACCTAATTTTTACACAGTTTTGAAGTTGCTTTATATTTTACTCTGAATGTCTCTCTTCTAAACCTTTTTTAAACTTGATCAATATTCCGCTTGATGTTTTAATAAAATATTTACTTTTAGGAAAAGCAGGTGGCTGAGTTACTGCATACTCCGATTTCTCAGCCATCATCTCTTGGGGAAATGATTCACTTGCCTTGCCAGGTATCCATGGAAAGCACCACTCATCTACTGACAGCTTCAAAAACTGTAAATAAAAACCATTATAGGAATAATCTATGTTCAAAGGGATGAAACTAGTCAATTTAGTCTTATTTTAGTAATGGGAAATGTCATGCTTCCCATAAGACTTGTATTTCCTGAATGTCAGAAGAAAGCTTCCATGATTATATTCCATGGGAAAAGAAATAATAACCAATTTAAACATGACAAAGAAAACACAAGATCCAGCAACAGTTGACCTCAAACCACCAATCTGAAGCAAAAAAATCTCATATTACTTCTAAAGTATGAGTTAAGCAAGCCAGGTCTCATGTTTAACTGGATATCAAACATAGCTTTTCACACCAAACTAAGCTTTTTAAAAACTTTTATAAAATAAATGTATACATTACCTGGTAATTGTTTTGGTTTTGTGATAACCTCAATTGGTTTGAGGATGCAAAATGTGAAGAAAAATTACTCCGTGATGGATTTGTATTACTGTACATCGTAGTAGCTACTGAATGTAATGAGGTCCGTGGTGTCAAATGGTAGTCTCTGTTTTGATACAGTACATTGTCTGACAAGTCTCTAATATTCACCATTTGTGAATTTGGCATACTTCTTCCTGATCCAGGCAATGCTGTACTTTGGTTCTCTCCTCCAAGGGATCTGCCACTTTCATAAAATCTTGAGTAGCTTGGTATCTGTGCTCCCATCAATGCCAACTCTTCTTCTTTGGCATACTCATCATCAGCATCTCCAGTCTCCATTGCAATGGACAAACAAGTTCCTTCTGCTGAACTAGGCTTCTGTGGGGCATTTCCTCCCAGAATTTTCTGGGGGTAATCACTAACAGCCAAAGAAAATACTTCACGGATTTCCAAGTTTTGTGTTCTACAGTAAGGATCTCTAATAGGTGGCTTTTGCCCACATAAGTTATGTGATGCTAGATTCATGTGTTCAGGCTTATAAGACCTTTGCATTCCAACTGGTTCAATTTTGCAAGGTCGGTGGCACACAGATGGCTTTTGAGGTACCATCATCTCAGAGGCCTGTATTGAAGAGCTTCCATAGTTTTTCTTTGAGTGACTGTATACTGAATTTCCAGCATTTAGCACACTTGTCTGTCTTGATAAGATAATTGTTTTTTCACCTAGGAGAAGAGAAGCATTTTTACAGTGTGCTACTTGTCTTTGAACAGGAATGTGCAACTGAAACTCAGTATCATTTTTACTGGTAGTTTTCTGAATAGGAATTTTATGTGCTTCTGTAATTTGTGTATCTGAATGCTTGGTTGTCCCTTGTCTACTTGATGAACTCGCTGGACTGTATGTACCAGTTACAATGACATCATTATTGGTAGATGTCCAAGAAGACTGTTGGCTTGAGGGTCGTGTGATGTTAACTACATTTCTGACTGTAATGTCCGGAGTCGTCAAAGAGGTAGTGGGAGGAGTGCCTGTTGTTGCTCCTGATTCAGAATTCTTACTACTCATTTTTCTTCTCTTATTGCCAACCCACGTCTGTAAGGATAAAAAATGATATTATAGAAATGTTCTTAACAGAAAAAGAAAGAAAAAATATTTTCAATGTGATAAATTGTGTTCTCATTTGTCATAGAACTAAAGCCTATAAAAATTTCAAACAAAAATATACAATAAAAGAAAAAGTAACTGATGTATAAAGTAAAAAAATAAAGTATAAGATCAGACATGTTCAAGAACTTGCACTTAATAACTACCTAAGAACTCTGAGAGTAGAATTTTCTTATTGCTTCTCTTCTCAAAACTCATTCAATTAACCTGTATCAAGAACCCTAAAAATGTTTATATACCTTACGTAGTAAATCCATTTCTGGGAATTTATCCTAAAAATAATCATAGATATATACCAAGTTATATGCATTTATGTTCATCATATACTTATTTTTAATAGTGAAAAATTGGAAAGATACTAAAGATAGGATATTTAATGACATTGGACAATGCTCATAATATTATTAAACAACTTTATACTTCTAATTTTCATGTTTAACAATTTTGTTCTATGATTATATCATACCTTGGCATAATTTAATATTGTGAGATATTACTGGGTTACTTTTAGAAATATTTATTATTATAAACCATAATGAAATACATGTCAGTGTATATGCATCTTTGTGCTATGGGTCCATTACAATGTTATCCTAGAAAGGAAAGTGTTGGGCTTTTTGATATTTTCAAAGTACTGTCCAAGAGTTCTGGTTTCCCCACAACCTCACCAATATTTTGCATTATCTTTTTGTAGTCTTTACTAGCCTTGGAGTTAATATAAGGTATATAATTAATGTTTTCATTTGAATTTCTATGGTTACTGTATTACTTTAACAAAATTGCTTACCCATTAACTTTACTCATTTTTATATTGGGATATTTGTCTTTTTAAGTTGATTTATAAAAACAATTTTCTGGTAGAGACAACAAAACTTTGTCACAAGTTGAAAATATTTTTCCCAGTTCATCATTAATTCATGGTAGCTATTTCCCTTTTTATATAGTGGGTGTATATTATTTTTATAAACAGAAAAGGTATCATTAATAAAAAAATACAAGACATTGACATTTAGAATTTGATTACAAAATATGCACCTTTATATAAGTAATTTGTTATAACAATCTTAGTAGTATTTTACTGAATCATGATTATGCAAATAAGAAATATTACATTCCCTAATGTGATCATCAAACTTTATAATTATTTCAAATATATAACATATTATAAACTACCAAAACACATTAATCTATTATGAATTTTTAAAAAAATAAATAGGTGAAAACATTAAATAAACTAGCCTTGAACAAATATGTGCAGGGTATATTTCGTTGACTTTTATTTGATTTGTTTTTGAAGACCACAAAAATTACTCAGTTTTTAATGTTTATGCAATATACATTAATGTTACTATAATACTATAAATAAAAATTTATTTATTTTTTGTTTATTTTTTTTGAGAGAGCAAGCCAAGGGTGGGGGCAGAGAAAGAGGGAGAGAGAAACCCCAAGCAGGCTCCACACTCTCACTCCAAAGCCTGATGTTGGGCTTGAACTCACGAACGGTGAGATCATGACCAAAGCTGAAACCAAGAGTTGGATGCTCACCCAGGCACCCCTAGAATATCATAAATAAAACTTAACAAGCATTAGATCCTCACTATCCGCCAATATATATTGGCTTCTTTGATTATTTTTCTAATTGTATAAATAAAAACATTGATGTTCAGAAATATTAGGTAGCTTATAGAAGGATATCCTGTCAGCAAGTGGCAGAGCAAGGATTCAAAATCAATTTCACTTGACCTCAAAGCACATTCTCCTTCCACTGTGGCAAGAAACTTCTGAAATTTTTATCCCTCTTGGCCATTTTACTTTTATAATTAGTATAATTAGTATTTCTCTAACAAAGAAAATGTTCCAGAGATGCAGATGCTCTATTTTGCTTCACATGAGGCTGTTGAAATTTTAAACTCACTATGATTTAGTTTTACTAAATAGCAGAGGTGTAAATTACAAGCCGAATGACAAATAAATATAAATACCAAAGGAGAATGAAAAGGATTTAAAGAATAGAGTAGAAAAATGAAGGGATTTAAAGTATATACTCAAAAGAAGTACTTAAGTAGAAATGTTTTTAGATAAATATAATTTCAGTGTATAGTTCAAAAAGGTGAATTTTATAAATATTCAAAATAAGTTAATGTGTTATTTCTTTTTAAGTATGAAAAAATCCATATGAAGAATGATGCATTTGTTCATAATTTTTACAAAAATTTATAAGAGTTACATTTTAAGACTTTCAATGGGAAAGCATAGTGAATTTGTAAAATTTTAACTCAAGAGCTAATACATCTGGAAGGCAGCTCTGAGCAATATTTCTAAGAAAATAAATAAATGTTCTCATTACTATAAATACCTTAATACAGGAAGTTTAAGAATGATCTTAGTGTATTGCAAATTTATGGCTTATTTTAATAGTTTTACAGGTAGTTATATATATCACACATAGAAATATGTACATTTATGTATATGCAGTTACTTATATAGCTTATTAGATATTTATATTATGAACCTCTCAAAAAGTAAAATGCAGTAGAATATCATGTCCATATAAAGCTTAGTTATCTAGCAATCTCACTTGTCAAGAACAAAGCCAAGATATATATACAAGTACAAGATATATGTACTTATTAAAAGCACAACCCTTGCCCTTAAAACACACTTTCTCCTATTTTATACATCATTTCACCAAATCTAGTATTCTAATCTATAGCAAATTAGAAATAACAATGGGAAAGGGCATTGGTAATAGAAATTGCAATTGGAGGCAACTTGATAGCATCAAAGCTAAAAATGCCCATGAAATTTTGCTCACCAAAAAGAAGAAAGGAAGAACATAAGAAAATTAATGTGAGAAATAATTAAGTACTTTGGGGACTTTAGTGAAGGAGAAACCCCATATAGCTTGCCATATTGTGAGCATTATTATTTTATATCACAGTACAATCATTCATTTGCATAATGAAACTCCGAGTCAAAAAGTAAGGTTTCATATTTTCAATATTCTCTACTGAAGTTAAAGTAGGAAAGTCTATACTTAAGAAATATTTTTAGGGGCGCCTGGGTGGCTCACTCGGTTAAGCGTCCGACTTCGGCTCAGGTCATGATCTCAGGGCTCATGAGTTCTAGCCCCGCGTCGAGCTCTGTGCTGACAGCCAGCTCAGAGCCTGGAGCAGCTTCGGATTCTGTGTCTCCCTCTCTCTCTGCCCCTTCCCTGCTTGCGTTCTGTCTCTGTGTCTCTCTCAAAAATAAACATTAAACATTTTTTTTAAAAGAAAGAAATATTTTTAAAATTCTGAAAGTAAAAAAAACTATATTGGCTGAGCATTCTCAATAACTAAATTAAATGTTACTTAAAGCTATCCAGTTACAGGATACAAAATTTGCCAATGCTTATAGGCTATAAATGATTCTCATTCAAAATGCCTCATTCGGGGGAGAGAAAAAATGGATGAAACAAAATTGATATGATGAGAATTTGGGAAAACTAACAAAACAATACGAAAGAATGAACGAACGAACGAACGAAAGAAAGAAAGAAAGAAAGAGAGAGAGGAAGGGAGGAAGGAAGGATGGAAGGAAGAAAATTAGGTCACCAATTCTCTTTCAGTTAAAATAAATAATATATAACAAATATATATTAATATATTAAATAAATATATATATAAATAAAATAAAATCTGCTTTCAGTTCTCTCTTTGAAATTCAGTCTCCAAACCCGTTTATCTTTTTCTATACCCTCTTCTTTAGTTTCCCTGTTCCATTAGTCTGCTATTTATTTTTGCATGGACTTAACATTTTAAGTTCATTTTACATTGGGATCAGGTTCTTAGGACCATGGAATTTGAGTTTTTTTGAGGAAAACATAAAATATTGTATTAAAAATAATGAAGAAAAATCTCTTTCAAGTAGAACATTGGAGCAAAATATTGAAGGTAGGGGAGGTTATGGAATAACAAGTCTATGAACAACTCCCTTCTCCTCAGATTGAAGAAAATAACCAAAATGTGTTGGAATTTAGATTAGGAAGACTGAATTTCTGTACAATTTACACTCTTCTAGAACAGAAAGAATCTGTCTTACACAATTCCTTAAAACTTAAATAATATTTTACTTGTAAGCTTACAATCTAGGAATTTACTTCTCTCATTCTCATTGTTTTAGATTTCATACCTGTTGGAGCAGAAATATAAATCTTTGTATTTCAGCACTCTCAATATACAAGTACAATAAAAAAGTTATTAGGGGAAGATTGCAATAACAAATTGGAAATATGAAAGGTCACATAGCCCAGAAAACAGCTGTCATCATTTTAAAGTAATGAAAAAATAAAAGGAAAAAAGAAAAAGTTCCTCCAAGAAAAAAAAGAGTTGGTACTTATAAAATCCAATGTCATCAATCTGAAATATTACCCATTTATTTTTTAAGACAATTAAACATTTTTCTCTACGGTTTACTAAAGGTAAATAAAGATTTGAATTTACTTAAAGGACATCCTTGACCTTAAAACATACTTTCTCTCAGGATGCCTGGGTGGCTCAGTTGTTAAGCGTCCGACTTCTGCCTAGGTCATGATCTCACTGTTCCGGAGTTCAGGCCCTGTGTCCAGCTCTGTGCTGACAGCTCATAGCCTGGAGCCTGTTTCAGATTCTGTGTTTCCCTCTTTTTCTCTGCCCGTACCCAACTCACGTTCAGTCTCTCTCAAAAATAAATAAACATTTAATTTTTTTAAATAAAAACACATACTTTCTTCCCATTTTATACACAATTTTACCAAATCTGGTACCAAAAAAAATACCTTAAATAGCCTGGGGTTCTATAGTAACGAAAATCAAGCTGTGAATTCAAGTAGGGGATTCAGAGCTACCAATAGGAGACATTTTTAGTTCTTACAGAAATCTGAATGTGATGGTTGATTTCATCAGGTAAAAAACAGGTATCCTGTGATATTTCCCTCCTACAGTTGGTGTCCTAATTACCTGTTCAAAGGTGAATATATCCTCTAGTCGTTAAGAAATAATTTTCCAAAGAATTCTGTTTATCAAGAGATTTTTATCTTTAGGGTCTTTTGAAAGGTCCTCCGAAAGAAAAACAGACTTAAAACCAGGTGTGCTTTTTCTTTGCCAAATTAGCCTAATGAATGACAAGAATAAGAAAGTTGCCAATCTTTGAATTCCTAAGGTTTCCGTGAATTCCTAAGTATTTGTAACATATTCAGGCAAACATGAAAGGACCTATGCACTCAATAAAATCTGTGACTAGTTCTGTTAGATTTATCTCTTGTCTCCTCTCTATCCCTGTTCATTGTCACTCACCAAAGTTTAGGGGCTCTGATTTTTACAGCTGAATAACCATGGTTGTGATAAAGGAAAATTTCCTCCCTTGGGATTTTTGTCCTTATGCGTTAGCTAAACCATTAAAATGTATGTATTTTACTTAGAAAAAGGGGGTGGTATTCATTAAAAAAAGGTCCAGTTTTCCTAAAAAGAAAAAACCCTGAAATTTAAAATGCGTGATGAAAAAATTCAAGTACAAGAAGAAAATATGTTAGGTACCCAATAGTCCCTTGGTAGGTGTCTGTTTTACTGATACCATTTTGGTAGGTTACATCCAGATTAATTCTGGGTTTAAACCAGGCATAGGATAGACAAGTAATCTTAAATGTAATCATTAGTTCAAAGGATTCGGATTTTTTAAAGGTATGTTTATAATGCAAAAATTTTAGTGTTTTCAGGTATTTACAGAAATACATACCAAATGATTACTTCTATTTTTCTAAAAAGTAGTATTTTTACACTAGGAAAATGAAACTGTTCATAAAATTAATGACTTCATACTCTGAAGCAATTATCATTTACAATAAAAATCTATAAATTCAAGACTTAAGACCTCAATACTTACCCTGACTACACTGAAGTCCAGCTTAGTCTCTTGTGCACACTGTAATATGAGTTGAAAGCAATTTTTACTTTGATTTGTCATTCCATTTTCATAATAACGCTGTAAAATCCTTTGTTGCTCTACAGTAAATACAGAACGCAGATTCATCTAAAAATAAAAGAAGATACTCTGAAAATTGGAATAAAAATTGGGTATATGCAGAATTTGTATGCTTTTGTTTTTCTGATACAGTTTCAGTGATTTGAAGCTGTAAGATTTTTTAAGTGAACTGATTCCCAGTAATGGACAATAATTTGTGTGCTAAAGGGAGACAGGTTCTAACTGAAAATTATATATAATGAAAACATTTATTAAATTTGGTCCTAAAAACTAACAACTTTAAGGACAAAAAGAAGAAAGAGAAAGAGGAAAACCCTTATCTGGTTAGTGTCAGTACCTGGGGAAATAAAGATTCTTTCACTGAAATAAATATTTATGACTAGTAAAGTCGGAGATGGTGGTAGCCATACATTCATAGTCAATTATCAACAGAAATACTGACTGTTCTTTGTCAAACAAGGCATCTGGCATATGTCTTACAACCAGAAACTATGGTCTGAAACAAAAGGGTACTTTTAGTTTTCCTCTTCCTTGAATAAAGGGGTTCTTTTTATATATTAAAACAAAACTTCTCTTAAAAAGCTTAAAAATAAATAGAAAGTGTTGATGACTAAAAACATCTTTGCTTTAGGCAATACTAACCAAAATAATTATTTTAATAATGATACTATATAAATCAAAATTCAAAATCATGTGAATTTTACTAAAAATAAACCATGTAAAAACTACATACTTTTAATTAAATTGACATCATCATAATTATACAAGAAAAATGTTTATAATGCATTTTATCCTTCCTGTCAATATGCAATGTGTTTAATATTAAGAGAAAACGACCTGTGAATCTCACAACTAAAAGGCAGGTCAAACTTTTTTTTTTTTTTTTTTTTTTAAGAGGATGAATTCTAGTAATGCATTTTTAAAAAAATTCTTGTAATTAGATTAAGGCAACTTCAGGTTCTTATTAAAATTAGTCACACTGAAATTGTTATTCCTAAAAGTTTACAGAAAGAAAATCCTTTCCACGGAAATTGCCCCCTTCAAAATTAGGAAAATAACAACAACAAAAACACCATAAGCCAAACCAAACAGAAATCATTCTGAATATGGAAATGATCTAGTACATTGACATGTAAATAAAAATAATTTTCCTTTCTCTGGATATGTTGAACAATAAGGCAATCTCACAAAGAAATTAAAGACAGTCATATAGCCATCTTATTGCTATTTGTATACCTGACTTTTTTTTTCATCTCCCTATCTAATGTTAAGAAATCTAATTAGATAAAATCAGATGTAGAGAGGACATAGGAAAGATGGAGTAGAGTTTCTTCCTGAAACTTTCAGGAACAAAAAATCTCCACTAACTTTCTGAAGGGGATCTCATTCTGCAAGTGACCAAACTTTCAAGGATGTTTGGATCAAATGGTAGTAATGTATCCATCAAAGCAACATTTGCTATCATGGTTGTCAGCTTTCAGAGCAATGTGAAATTCCTTCTCTTAAATCATTCAGCTACAATCAAGAGAGGAACCAGAAAGTAGAGGGCAAATACTCAAAATGCATTATCTGGTATGGATTTAGAAGCAAGGTATTTTGGAATGAATTCTGAGGAGGGCCATAAACTTCAATTCACTAATGCATAATGAGGGTAATGGCTCTGATCCTTCTCTGAAGTTTTATAACTACAAAAATAAAGAGCCTAGGATGCAAGATATGGCTGATCCTCAAGTGTGGTGGTAACTGCTGTAAAATATAGGAATGTTTTCCTACTGGCTGGCTACAACTGTTAGATTTACTCAAGTATGAATTAAGAATTAAAAAGCACAGCAGGTTCATCCTCACTTATACCAATAGCCAAATATAGATGCTGAGTACTAAACAGACTTCTAGAGTCTACAATTCTGACAACAAAGAATGCTATGACCTTTCTGTTTTTTCCCCTATATCCATAGCAATAGCAAGAAGGCTGTTTTGATCAAGAGACCTAATGTTTTTCTTTCACAACAACTAGATAAAGGCTTGTAAGCAAAATAACTTGTCATTATCTTTATGTACCCTCATTATCCTGGTTTATTAAGTGGCAAGATATTGAATAGCCAAAGTTACTAATAATTTATACAAAAATCAGGAAGAGACTTGTAAAAACCTTCATTTTAATTTTATTTTTCATTTATTTATTTTTGAGAGAAAAAGAGAGACACAGCACAAGTCGGGTAGGGGCAGAAAGAGAATAAGACATAGAATCCAAAGCGGCTTTGAGCTGTCAGCACTGAGCCCAACATGGAGCTCAAATTCACAAACTGTGAGATCATGACCTGAGCCGAAGTCCGATGCCAACCGACTGAGCCACCCAGACACCCCTAAAAAGCTTCATTTTAAAAGTTGGGTTTTTAGGGGCGCCTGGGTGGCTTAGTTGGTTAAGCGTCCAACTTTCGCTTAGGTCATGATCTCGCGGTTCGTGGGTTCGAGCCCCGCGTCGGGCTCTGTGCTGACTGCCAGCTCGGAGCCTGGAGCCTGTTTCAGAGTCTGTGACTCCTTCTCTCTCTGACCCTCCC